AAATCTAAATATATACACTTCCAAAAAAAGGAAAATCACTCTCTCTCTCTCTCATGCCTCCCCTTTAGGGACTCATGCTAGAGGGGGAGGGGGAGGAGGAGGAAGGAGCTGTGCTCGCTTGCGCTCAAACGGTGCATAGCCATGAATGTTGGGCTTTACACATGAACTAAATTTAATCTGGCCTGAATGCTAATCACACCTGGCTGCAACATGGAACAGAAAATCTGGGCACTGGCTTTGCTGAACCCCCAGCTACCTCTCTTTCAGGACTGGCTTGAGGGAAATGGGACATTGCAAACCAAGGGATGTAGCTATACGACTAAAATCTTCTTCCACCTCATATCGTGAAGGCTTCTAAAAATGCTTATTTCAGCTGTGCCCCCAGACTCCACAAACATCGGAGGGCACCCCCTACTCATGTACCCAGCTGGCGGCAGCACTACTTTATAAATAAGGGTTTTTATGCAGCTTCAAAACCTTATTTTAAATGGAAACATACTATTATTCACATTTTCAGTGAATTATGAAAACACTTGTTTATAATAAATTTTAAAACTCCTTTTAATGACTCCTTTGTCATTACTTATTTTTTAAAACATGAATTTAAAATATAAACCAAACAATTAATCTAAGAAACCCAAAACATTTTTTGTTTTCTTTTTCCCCCACTTAGGTGCCCCCAGAACTCTACCTATTCTCCTTGTTATATAGTCCTTGGTCTTACAAAGTGGGGAATATTGATCACAAATGATAGAAATTTGGGATAGAAAGGGTTGTGTGAGAATTTTAATTTTCTCTTCTTGTATCTCCACCTTTACTAAATCGATACATTCCTTTAAAAAAATCACTTTCCGTGGCCCAATATGAGTTCTCACTCTAGATTTACACACTTGAGGAGAGGTATGGGGGAAACAATGGGTTGTAAATCTGTGTATTCTGTTGAATTATCAGAAAGGAAGAATTCCAGAAGCTTCATTAACATAGGTAAAATAATGAGATTACAAAACAACAACAGTGAAACACTACATTATTTTTACTGCTGACACAGGTGCTTAAAATCACAAACCTGAATTATACTTGAATTGTTAGTCTCTGATGGTTGAAAGAGGAGAACAAGAAGATCTCAGATTACTGCATGGATTTACCTCATTCAAGAAGACATACGGGCAGTGAATGGGTCCTTTCTGAGATTATAAAAGAGTGGGAATAGAAAACAGGATCAGAGGTGTTGGGGGTGGAGGAAGGCTAATAGGGGGAAAAGGTCTAACTAGGAGATCCTGGGGCCACGTCAGGAAGAAGAGTTGGGCCTGAAGCAGAGCAAAATAACATGATTTTAGGGATTACATAAAATAAACAGGTTTTCATGTCAGTCCTTAAAATATCTTCAACTTCAAACTATAGGTTACTTTCCATCTTTCTCTTCTCCTTCTCTTTCTTCTGGTCTTTCTCTTCCTCTTCTTTCTCTAACAATGCTTCCTTTTTCTTCTTACCCTCAGGTATCAGATAGATTAATTTTCCCTTATTGGGGCATAAAGAACTTAGTCATTACATATTACAGACTTGGAAATATAGACCCTATGAGAGGGGAAGAAAAACTGAGAGATCTGAGCACCGGATCAGCAGAGAACTGTGAAAATATATGACTATTGGCCCAGGAGATGCTATTGGGGGCAGGGTGTTTGCTGAGATTTCCAAGGACCTTTCCCAGACAAAAACCTCATCCGACATTCAGATGGGCTGGGCTATAAGGCCTTCCTTAAACACCTTTGATGAGGTGCCCAAACCAAGTGTTTTCCTCTCTCTCTTTAATATTTCTAATCAAGATAATTGGCAACCTGAGCCATGTAATATTGTCAGGAACTGCTAGCGAGAGAACATTCCTATTTTATGTACTTAAATCAGTCCACTCTAGCCGCTAATAATCAGTCAAAATTATCCTCTTGGCTCTATTCAGTTGAGGCAACTTCCATGGGATCCTGAGAGTCAAACCTCTCAATCACAGGTCAGAAGAGCAGAGCTATTTCAACTAATATATTCAGCAAATAGTGGTAATAACATGAAATGAGTTCTGGAAAATAAAATAAAGGCCTAGGAGGAACGCAAGGTGAATATAGCAAATCTAGTCCCGCCATTAAGATGTTTTAAATGACCCACTTTCTACATTCTGTAGTCAGAGGGAACAATCTATTATGCCCTTTGTGCTCCAGGGGTGACAGGAAGTCCAGACACCCTTATTTCATATTCTAACATGTCACCAGTGTCCTCCAATGAGTTCTCATTCCACCCCAATTCTGAACAGAGGCTATGAGGAAGAATCAGAAGTGCACCCTATATCCTGCAGACTGAGCATATAAAACCAATAGTAACGGCACTCAACTCCAAGCTGTGAGCACATAGTTTGTGTGGGTTGTGGAGGTAGAGGCTGTGGTTTGGGCCCTTCCCTCCCTCTTTAACCATACAAAGATCCTGGTAGTGGTTTCCTCACTTCCCTTTTGGAAAACAGCTCCTTTTGTGGAAATACTAGGTAGGAAGAATCATTTGTTTAGAGAAGTGAAAGCATAGTGAGGATACAGTAGGGAAAGGAAATCCAGTGTGAGTCTGGGTTTCAGATTACCTTAAAATATTGACTCCCTGGAATTTACTTCCGAAAATTGCTACTTAAGAAGAAGTGACTAGAGATCACAGATAATACCACTTCCTAAATTACTCTTTTATATTTTATTTTAGAAAGGAGAACTAAAAAGGCCAAGAAGCACAACTCTGGGAGTCACATCCACATCAAAGGCTAAGTGAATGACTGTTTATGGCCTGTACAGACCTCCTGAGCATCCAGGGGCTAGGATGGGAGATGGTCAATGGATAGAACAACCTAACACCCAACCTAGTGTAGGTGAAGGAAAGAATTAATAGGGAGGGGAAACTGAAACTGTGGTCTCCTAAGATGGAAATCAATAAAAGTGAACTTGGTAATGCATATTAAGCTGAGGAGAGATTGTTCCTGATCAAAGTAAGATGCAGAGCTATACCTGTGGAATTAATGAGGAATAGAGAGAATAAGGAAGGGAATGAGGACTCTGGAGAGCAATCTCTATCATTAAGGAATTGCAATATGGAAACATCTGGAGACACAGGATATAGGTTGTACTTAATGTAGGTTGGTAAACCATGAGTGCCTGCCCATATTTTGTTTAGCTTCCTAACCTTAATTCTGGGTAACTTGAAGTCGATTAGTTGACTTACAGCAAAGATCTATGTGGTGCATTTATTCAATAGAGTGAGAAAAGTAGATAACATCCTCTGAAAGAAGTAATAGCCACTTTTCCAAGCCGTTTTTAGGAACTAGAGATAATCTCTGAGAAGTCCCTGACCTACTGCCTAACACTTGGTAGATGTGAATTAAATTGGGACTATGTTATTTAAAGAAAACAAAACAATTTTCCCCAAGTATTTTCTTTCCTGTCCATAATGACTTCAGGATACTATAGAGAATGTGATGCTAATGCCCTGCACTCAGTGCTATTACATGCAGATTTCTGAAGAAGCATATCAGCCTTGATCCCTTCTCTCAGTTATACTTGTTCAGACAAGTTCAGGTAAATTCAAAAGCATGCATATGAACCACCATCCAGGAAATATGAAAACATTAGATAAATTGGGATATAACCGTGGCACATAGATTGTCTTAAAATTATAACAGTATAAGTGGGTAACTTACTCAAATTAAACATATATATATATATATTTAAAGATTCCAGGAAGTCTAGAAAAGTCTTCCTTAGAGTAACAGTAGGGCTAAGAGGACCAGGGGGAATTCTCCTCTTTAGAAACTCAAGTAAGTTGAAAGGAACATAACTGTATTTGTTTATTGAATACCTCTAGTTAAATACAGAAAATAAGACCAAAATGACTGTGTTGACCCCTTTGATTCATGCATTTTGTTAAAAGGTCGGTGACCCTATTTTCCTCTGTGTTCAGAGGGCAGTAATTTTAAGTTTAGGAGAAAGAACTATTTTCATTGGAGATTTTAATTATTTCTCCAAACACCCATTTCTCAGATTGACACTGTTTCCCTGGGTAAATAATGGCTTAAAAAAGTCAATAGTGAATATAATCACCAAACCTTACAGTAATGAATTTTGATATTAAAACATTTTATCTTATTCACATCCCACTTTTTATTTTGCTTTTAGTTTTTCCAGGACATGCCCTACACTCTCTATGGGAAATCTTATCTGGCCCAAGTTTCTGAAGTGCAGTTGTCATTCTCTACTAAGCACTCTAGAGGCAACTGTGGTATACAGTGCAGTGACTTAGAGGGAAAGTCTCAGAACAGATGTTCTGGGTGAGGACAAGGCCTGGAATTAACAATGACTGTATGACCTCAGTTTTCTCCATTCCTTCCCTCCTACTGAAGACTAGACAATAATAGGAAGGGCATGGTTTGAGGGGCAGGGGTGGAAGAAGGCAGGTTCAGGATGCTACCAATGTGTCTGGGAAGAAAAAATATGAATATTTATACTTCCCTTCCAATTCCAAATTTTCAGATTCTGCATTGACAGCAATCTGAACAGTGTGGTTCAATGTTACTGTAGGTAAGTGAGGTATAGAGAGTTTAGTAAATGAGACTATGAATACAGGGTAGTATTGACTGATAAAAAACTCAGAAATACTTCTCTGTACCCTAAACCCTACACTCACCTAAAGTGACCAACCTTATATAGCTCCTCTTTTATTCATGTCAACTGAGCAAAATATTTAGGTTCTATCCCCATACTTAACTATAAACCATTTTCCTAAGACACGTGTTTTTTTTCTATTGGGATCTCCCTTCTTCTGAAGTTTTCTCACTTAGACTCTCTCCCCAATGCATGCCTTTCAATCTTTGATAAACTATGTCTTGTTGTAAGTTCACAAATCTGATTTTCGGAGATTAGATTTCTAATTCACCACAAAACCATAAGGTTTCAAAGACCAAGGCCAGAAATGTGCAGAGAGCCTACCATAAACAGGGTCCAAGTCGCCGACAGCAAAAACAGCCCCGGTGCGTCTTGAGGAACCCATCCCGCATCTCCTCAGCCAGCAGGGAAGGCAGGAGAGCACTCTCCGCATAGCAGAGCCACCAGGAAAATTAGGAGCAAGAACCTGGTGTCAGAAGAATCAGGAGAGGATTGAGGTGGAGCATGCAGGAAACTTAAGACTCCTATTACACCCTGAAAAGGGGGCAAGAACTCAGCAAGACTGGCTGCAAGCAATGTGAGAGGCTGAATTCCTTAAGCAACCCCTCCCCACACCACCACCACCACTGAACCTGGAACATAAGCTGAGCTCAGAGTGGGTTGATCTTGCCAGGTGATTATAATTGTTTTCTCTTTGAAATTTGGAAGGTTGTTCTCGGGAGCAGTGTCTTGGTTCTTCAATCCACTTACCCCTTTTTCCTTTCATTCAACCATAAATCCATTCATTCCACCAGGATTTAAACAACTGAACAGACTTTTCAGGGGTCCTCAAACTACGGCCCGTGGGCCACATGCAAATACAAATATTGTATTTGTTCCCGTTTTGTTTTTTTTATTTCAAAATAAGATATGTGCAGTGTGCATAGGAATTTGTTCATAGTTTTGTTTTGTTTTTTAAACTATAGTCCGGCCCTCCAAAGGTCTGAGGGACAGTGAACTGGCCCCCTGTTTAAAAAGTTTGAGGACCCCTGCTTTAGATGTTGGGGTTGGGGATTCAAAGGTTGACAAGATAAGTCTGGCTGGCCTTGGCTAGGTGGTTGAGTATTGACCTATGAACCAGGAGGTTACAGTTCAGATTCACGGTCTGGGCACATGCCTGGGTTGTGAGCTCAATCCCCAGCTGGGGGGCTTGCAGGAGGCAGCCGATCAATGATTCTCATCATTGATGTTTCTATCTCTCTCTCCCTTTCCCCTCCTCTCTGAAATCAATAATTTTATATATATATATAAAGGTGGACAAGATAAGACATGGTCTCTGTCTTTGAGGAGCTATCTAAATGAGAAAGTTGGTAATGTTTAATTTGGAAAATACAAAAGTCAACATTTAAGATAGTATAATAACTTTTAAAATTTCCAAAAGTCTAGCTCATAAAAGCGGCAGCAGTTTTATTTTGAGTGATTTTTAAGGCCAGAACTAAAATCAGTGCATTTCAGAAGATATCAAGAGAAGGAAGAATAATTTTACTTTTAAAGATTTTCAACCAGGGAGTAAGTTATTCTTATTCTTAGAAATAGTAAGTTCCCTCTTATAGAAAGCACTTAAGTAAACACTGGACAACAACCTAAAAGTAATGTTTCTACATATATTAATTCACATGACCTCTATTATTTTCTTAATAGGTATGATTTCATGTGCCATATTAGTTATTTAGTAAAAGGAATATGTATATACTACCAAAGATTTTTATAAAACAACTAGATGTCCAGTGCATGAATTTGTGCATGGGTGGGGTCCCTTGGCCTGGCTGGTGATCAAGATCTATAAGGGGGCCAGCCAGCCAGGGGAAGGGGCCCTGAGAGGTTGGCCAGCCTGTCAGGGGGGCAAGCTGCCTGGGGGAGAGGGGCCATGGGAGATTGGCTGTGGGAGCACACTGACCACCAGGGGGCAACTCCTGCATTGAGTGTCTGCCCCCTTGTGGTCAGTGTGCATCATAGCAACTGGTCGACTGGTCATTCTGGTTGTTCTGGTCATTCAATCATAATAGTCCCTTAGGCTTTTATATATATAGAAGTGAAGATGTCCTTACCAGATATACCAATCATTTGGGTATTGATTTTTATAGTTTATGTACCTGGTGACAAAGAAAGAACAATTAGTGTTGGACCTCTAAGTGGCCCAAACCTATTCTTTTGCCCCAAACCTATTCTTTTGCACCATAATATTTTTTTCTGATTACACCTGTTTCCCCAACAATAATTTACTCACTGCAAGGCCCCCAACACAATTGGTAAATGTTTCCCATATGTCCACGTCATGTGAGTGGAAACTGTCAGATACTTAAAAACAGATAATTGCATAGTAATAGGTTTGATGCCAGAGTTAAAAATACTGTAGTACATTGAGAAGATAGTGACTAACTTTTCAGGACTACCATGTGATAGGTATTAGTAGATAACCATTCCACTAGTCTGTTTATTCAGAGACCTGGAGTCCTTTAAAATGCAAATTATCCAGGGAAGGTCATAGTGCCTATTAACCTTGGATGTCTTGGTAGAGAAAGGAGCCCTGCAATTCTGGTTGAAAAAATAAATTAGGATAAAAGGAAAATGAATGAGTGTGGCCATACACACCATGTACCAAGGAGTTAGAAGTTGATCTGTTAGTCAGGATGGCCAAACCATTTATGTGCTTCAGCATAACTTAATTGTTCTTAAGATAAGTTTAAAAAGATCACACAGAAAAAGATCACATTTTGGTTCACAGTGTGATTTTTAGGAGGTATAACTCCCCAGGTTTAGACACATGTGCTGTTCATTCCAGAGTCCCTTGCTATGCCACACACAGTGCTTTGAATGTATGTTTGCTGATGGACATTTTTCAACCTCGGTAGATGGGCTGCTGTTACAGTATTCTGGGATTAACGAGTTGAAGGCTGTTCATCACAGCCCGATAAGCTTCTGAGATGGCACTGCCCTTAATCACGTTTTCTTCAGCCTTTGTTAAAATAACACTCGGCACTTTTCAGCTTGAAAGCTTTCATAAATGTCAGCTAATTTATTGCTCACAGCCTCCCTAAGGAGAAAGTGTGTCCTGTTTATCACACTACTCTTCAGAAATGACTTTTTAACATATGTGATTGTCAACTTAAAAATTTTACCCCAAATATTTAAGACAAAACTCAATCATCCAGAGAATAAGTTTTTGGGGTGTTTGTTTGTTTTGCACCTAGAGAATTTAGCCAAATGCACAGGTATAGATGGCTGGGAAAAATGACAGCTGAAGTGTGACTTTTTAAAAAAGCATCCTAAGACAAGTGATCATCAATAGAGGATTTTAAAAATAATTAATGGTACTTCCTCTTAAAGAAATATTATATATTCATCAAAAATGTAGATTTATATTTATAGTTAAAAGCCTTGATAAGTAAAATAATAAACAGCATCATTTCTACTTTGTATACATTTATAATACAAATATAATGATTTCACAAAATAAGTATTATATAGTTATATATACACATACATCAAATTACTAACAATATTTGCTTCACTTGAAGATGGATGTCATGAGGCACTTTATCTTTTCAATATTTTTATACTGGTTAAATTTTTATAATGTACATATATCACTTTTGTAGTCATAAAAAATTTAAATATCACATTGAAATATATAAATTTTTAAAATGTAGTATCCTACCTTAGAGATGGATGCAGGAAACTTTTCTTGGTGATTTAGCCAAATAAAGTAACAGAAGGTTCTTGTTTTTGAGTCTTGAAATCTAAGCTCATGATCAGGAATGTGGATTGTTTCATTTCCCTCCATATATAAATCTCTGCTTCTTTTCTTTACATTTAAAAATAGACTATATTATAAATTAAAAATTGACTTATTATACTGTCAACCAGAGGCCCGGTGCATGAAATTCATGTACTGGGGGGAGGGGGTCCCTCAGCCTGGCCTGTGCCCTCTCACAGTCTGGGAGCCCTGTGATCGATTACCCCCCAGAGAGAGGCCCCGCCCACCTGTCACAGCTCGCTGGTCAGTGGCCTGGGCCTCCCTCTGCAGGGTGATCATGGGGCAATAGCCAAACCCCCAACCAATCACATCACACCTGTCTTGGCTGGCCTGGCACCAGTAGGTGTCATAGCATGGTTGTCCGGATGGTCACTCAGATGGTCGTTCTGCTGTTTGGCCATTCGGTCGGTTTGCATATTATGCTTTTATTATTATAGATTCTAAATTTACCTCATTTTATTTCCTAGATTTAATTTTTTTAGTCACTCAATATTTTTTCCAGTGCTAACAGTTTTGCAAACTGACTTACTTCACTTTCTCTGTCTGAATCTGTGAAGCTACTGATGGATTTTCTGATATGTAACAAAATGGTCTAGAAGCAGTTAGCTGAAGAAATGCAAAGTGATCATATAATTTAAGAACTACAGGAACCTTTGGGATAATTTATTTCCCCCTTAGGATTTTACATACTTTACCACTGAGACCCAGAGTGGAAAAATAATTGGGGAGGTCACTAGCTGCCCCCAAACTTAAACTACAATATGGGTCTTCGGACTTGGTGTACTTTCTTCCACATCATTATTTCTGTGTCTTTCTCAAGTTCAATTTTTAAACAGAAATTCTTTGTGTTATTAAAAAAAATATCCGAACTGTGACAATATTCCAATTACTCAAATTTTAGATGTAAGATTTTCAGTGTAGTAAAAGTTACATTTTTTAAGATAAAGTTATTGCTCAGATATTTATATATGCTTGGTGAAATTGAAATAATGATGCCAAAAAGAAATGAAATCTGGGAAAAGTGAGAACTGATCTTTATTACTGTTCTCATTGCTGATAATCTGTGGACCTATGATGAACTACAAACTCATTACTTTGATAAATTTAAGAACTCAGAATGTATCCCAGTCATTAAGTGACACATGACTGTGAAGGGAACCAAACTTTTGCCTTTTGGGATATTCATTTTAAGCTATTTTTTAGAAAACAAAAGATTCGGAATCAACCTTTGACTTTTTCCCTTTCTAAGAGATTCAGATGGGAAGGCCTACTCAAAGAAGGGGACCTTAGGATATTAACCTTAGTTTAATTTAAATTAAGTAGGATAAATAAGAGGGCTTCAGTCAAAGTCCAATTAGCTAGATACCCTGTGTTCCATTGTTTCTGAGTTTCCCAGCAAATACTTACCTGCCTTGTACGTCTACTCTTCCTCTCCTCAGTTACCCGAAAATGGCCCAGTCTCAATTTTGCAATCTAAGATCCAGTCCCCTTCTTTCTCCTTTGCAAAAATAACATTGACACCCAATTTTGCCCAATTATATTTGGAATTTTCATGCTTATGTGAATTTCCCATGGACATGTATTAAAATTCTGGTTTTCTCCTATCAATCTGTCTCAATTTAATTGTTAGCTCTTTCAGAAAAACATAGAAGATGGGAGGAAAAGTATTATATATACTAGAGGCCTGATGCATGAAATTCGTGCAAGGGGCTCGGCCCTCACAGCCCTGGCTTCATCCCGAAGGTTGTCTGGACAGTTGTTCCACTGTTCAGCCTTCCGGTCTAATTAACATATTACACTTTTATTATTATAAATTTTTAGCCCCCACAACTGTATATCTGCACTTTGAAAGCTACACATAATACAGGTTAGAAATTTCATTAGTCTGTTTATATTTGAAACTGATTTATCCAGAAAGCTACCCCCCATCACCAATGTGATTTATGGGTATGTATGCAGCCATATAGGATGTAATAATTCTTTCATGAATGTAAAGTACCTTGAAACCTCAAAGGTGGAGAATGCTGTGAACAAAAATACCTACAAATTAACCAGGCCTCTTATTTATTTAACAAAGCTGATCATAATAAAAGTGCATTTTCCCCTGCTTTTAGAAAAATCAAGCCATTTGCATTTAAAACAATTTACCTTTATTTTTCTTGCATGGTTATAATGGTCATTTGGAACTCTATTGAGGTTTCTTAAAATTTGAGCCCTTTTTTTATTCTTTCAATTTTGAAAATGTCTCTTGCTATTTACTTACATTTCATTTTCTTCACATGGTGGGTCCGAGAGCACCAACTGAAACACATGTTTAGAACAAATAAAATCCAAACATCTCATCAGTCTAATCCTTTAATACAACAGCACTTAGAGACAATGTGGGTTTTTATAATTTTGTTTCTGTAAGTAATGCTCACAGCCGACTCGGCTATTGTCAGGCGAACAGAATTTTAATTGAAAAAACAAAACAAAAAAAACAATCTCTGGGTAGATTTTCCAGCTCAGCAGTGACAGGAGATATGTATTGTAAACCAGATTTCTATCCTACACATAATTATAGATGGATGAAAAAATCTTTTTGTTTTTTTCTCTAGGCAGATTTTGCTTGCTCTAAAAAGCCTTTATGCACCTTGCTTTTTTTCTTTGTTTTCAAATTTTAGCTAGATGGAGGAGGTTAATTATTTTATTATTTTCACACACAGACATCAAGTTCTCTACATAAAACAGAAGTCCATGCCATTAGCATTATTGGGTATTAAATATATGCATGAAGGAGTGACTTTAACCTGCTTTAAGGCAAAGGTCAATTTAAGAGCACATGACATTCTTGTTGAGATTTACATTTCTCTCTTTATCAAAGAAGAAGGGAAAAGTAATAGTCTTCATGGCTTTGTTTTAAAAGACCCAAAGCATAAGCAATCCTACGCAATTATCTTAGTTCTGTGTGTTGAGCCTTACAGTTTACAGTAACTCACATCACAGAGGAAATAAAGTGCTCCTTTCTTAAGGTTTTGTTTGTTTTTCCCTTGACTTGAGACTCCTCCTGTGTACAACAGAAACATCTTTAAATGTCCTTTATAAATAGTCCTAAATATGGGTTGGTGAGGTTAGTGAAGTATGACTTTTCCTGGTCTATAACACAGAAGTATAAAACCAAGTAAGTAGTTACAAAAATTTTAAATGATACACATAGGAATTTTGTGGGAGATGTCTTTTTTTTTCTTATTATTAATCTCAAACGCATCTTTGTCAGCACCTTATATTTACTCCACCAGGTTTATCTGGGCAAAGAGATTTGTGGAGTCACAGATGGAGCCATGAATTGGCCGTCAGAGAGCGTGGTAATGAACAATTTATAAGCACAGAACATGACTTGTACTCTCTTTTGCTAGAATGCTGAAAATAGATTTGGATACTAACTGGGAGGAAAATGAACATTCAAATTTTGTCCATAAAGAGAGTTTATGTATGACTAGATGAAATCATTTGGGATCCAGTTGAACAGATAAACAAGTAAAGCCAGCATTTCACTTTGAAGTAATTTCCTAATCTTCTGGTGTGCTATACACCCTCAGCCAAGGCAGTAGCTGTCAGACTCCGGGTTGTCAGGAAATGGGGAGCAAAGTCTTAATATATTTCAGAACTAAATCATTCAGATACTTTGCATTCAAGTAACACATATGCAGAGATGCAGGTATTACTCTTGAGTGAGATGCTAGGGTAGAGGAAACAAAGTAAACTACCATGGTTCTGTCTACATTGTTCAGCAATGGGAAACTCAAGCATCAAGTGTGGCTGCAGGCAAGAGTAAACAAATATGTCTTAAATTAGCCCTATCATAGCATTTTGATATGATATGATATTTTTATTCTAAAAAAATGTTTTACAGTGTAGCAAAGATTACATTGCATCATCTTACTTCAATAGCAATAGAACTAAATAAAGTAGAAATAAGACTAATAGCATAGGTCATTTTGTTTTCTGTAGCTTTGACCAATAAATGTAAGTAGTAATACAATCCCGGTAACACTTCCTTAAAGGAAATCTTTGAAATGTATGAGTTAAGTTTCCCCAAATAACAAATCAATAACCAATCAGGTCCTTAGAGTACCTCTGAAAATCTTTTCCCAGAAAGAGAGATGTTACCTGGAATAGTGGCAAACTCCAGGTTCCCGTTTTGGAGATCACTGAAGTGAAACTAAAAGGACTGGATCTCGACATGCTTAAAGGACAAGCTGCTCAAAGATAGTGGTTTGCTGTCCGTGTTAATTTCTCTCTTCCTCAGAACTTGCTAGCTTCTCTATAAATTATGCTTCCTACCAGAGCACTCATTAACGATGGCTCCTTGTGACTGGTAAAGTGCGTACTGGGGGTAGGAATGTTGGGTGTGTGGTCACAGGTACCGAGAGTTCAAGGAATTTCAGGTTAAGGTCAGAACCTTGGTACTGTTTGTCAAGCCCTTAAAAGCCAGGGTTATACATGCTGATCTGCAACACTGGCTGGCTGCTTAAAGAACTTAGGATATTCAAGTGCATGTTTTATTCCAGGGTATTTCTGGGTTTTATATAAAATCTTTTTTGTACTTGGAACATTTACTTGGCTTTCTCCCCTTTGTTGGTCCTTTTTGCTCTTCTTTTCCTACACATCGTTTTTAGTCCCAGATCTTACCTAACCTTGGGCATAAAGCTTTTCCTGCCTCATAATGATCACACCTTATTTTTAAACAGGTCATATTTCAATGCTTATTTTAATAAAACAACTCCAACACAGCTGCCAACAAAAATGTTTGCCAAAATACTTAGGGGAATTCTGAAAAAGAACAATGAAGAGGCATAAACTACTATATATTAAGATATTATAGTAGTAGAAAAATGTACAAAAATTGGTACTGTTGCACATAAACAATAAGATCATTGTACAAGGATAGTTTAGAAATAAATGAGAATAAACATAGAGATTTATTTTTACTGCCATTTCAAAGCAGTGTGGAATAGATGTTATTTAGGGAATGATGAACTGAGTGGTTAGATGGAAAGAATCTTCAAATGCCTAAGCACATTCACAATTAGAGAAATATAACTTACAAGTATAATCACATTGGCAAGTTTAAAAAATTGATAATATAGTGAGAGGAGATAGATGTGGGGAGGCAAGCCTTCTCACACATGGTTGGGAAAACTGTATAGCCTCACTGGAAGGCAATTAGGCAATATTTCTTAATCTAAAAACTGAATATATCCTTTGGCCATGAATTCTCCTTTCAGGGATGTGTCTTACAGATATTATTACATGTGGCACAAATAATTACAAGCAATGATGTTCACTGAAGCATTGTTGCTAATAACAACATATTGGAAACAGCCAGTCTCCATCAAAATGCGACTGATTAAATACAAAATGATTATATCCACTCAACAGAATACTAGGCCGCTGTTTAAAAAGGTAATGGAAGATCACAGATGCTGTTGTGAAAAGGCTTCCATGAGTTATTAATTAAAGGAAATAAAATGTAGAACATTGTGTTCTACAATCATGCTACCTTTTATGTAATAAATAAACAAATATAGCTAGACTGGTTTTTTTACCATATAAAACTTAAACATATATACTCCTATATACATAGACTGTCTCTGCTTGAAACTATTAAACTGTAAAAGAGAGAGTCTGAACCAGGCCAGCGTGGCTCGGTGGTTGAGCATTGATCTATGAACCAGGAGGTCACGGTTCTATTCCCGGTCAGGGCACATGCCTGGGTTGCTGGTTCAATCCCCAGTGGGGGAGGTGTGCATGATTCTCTCTCATCATTGATGTTTCTATCTCTCCCTTCCTCTCTGAAATCAATAAAAATGTATATAAAAATAAAAGGGAGAGTCAGGAAATAAGAGTAGAAGGTAAATTTACTTTTCACTGTTAGTTTCTTATATGTTTAATTTTAAAAGAATTCTCTATATGTAATCTACTCCTTTTATACAGATATTTCTATAGGCAAATTCAAGTCATCTAGAATTCAGAACAAGCATGTTGTAGTTCAAGCCCCATAGAGTTCACTGAATCTAATTCAGATGACTATATATTAATTTATTTATGATCACATACGTAGATTGCTCTAGAAACAAACCAGCCATGTTAGTTATCTAACTACCATTCTGAACTGGCCATTAAGGTATATGGATTAGCCGGGCTGCATCTGGACACTAAGCAGGCTGTGGCAGCCTCGGTCTGTTTAGTATGCAGCCACAGACACAGCCATGAATTTCAAAGCACAGGAAGGGCTTGGTGCCAATGCCAATAGGAGATAAGTAAACCAAGCCTACAGTATTATTTGTCCCTAAGACACCCTTCATTCTGAGTGTCTCTGAAGCCTGTAATTAAATAGAATGAAAAAATAGGCTTTTCACTCGTGAATTTATTTATTAGGCGGTGGGTCAGAAGCCTCACTTCCGCAGGTGGAGTCAATGATCTTACGGATTCCTAGGGAAGGAAGGGAAGGTCAGATGACTAAAAAGAATGGAATGGAAACAAGGGCAGCATGCTTGGTTTAGCTTTAAAAGCTGAAAATATGACCAACTAGATACATAGATTAAATAATTTTTATGAAAAAAAAAATGGTCCCAAAGCAGATGGCTGACTGGGAGTGTGGCAGCTGATTGAAGGTGGGTCTATAATCACAGTAATACTGCAAACAACACTACTATATTTGGTGCTAAAATTAATATATAATATATATAACATATATATATATAATATATACATATATATATATTATATATATATTATATATATTACCACCTTTCTCTTCTCTGATTGCTGTGTAACTGTTTACCTCTGTGACTTTCTCACTCTGAAAGGCCAGCATTGTAGATTCTGCCTAAGACAGTAGTTTCCCTAGTGCATTCCTTTCCCATCATCATAACAGTTTGATGGTCTCCATAAAAGAAATCTGCCCATCAATGTCTTTTTACCTGCATAAATTTTAAAACATTTTATTTTGATGTAATTTTAGATTCACATGCAGTTTAAAAAAATACAGAGGTATCATATATTCTTCACCCCGTTGTCCCCAATAGAAACTTAATTAATTGCTTAATCAATGTACAATATGACAACCAGAAATTTGGCAGTGATACATCCACTGCCTGCATGATTTTTGTAACTTATATTTTATCGTTTAAAGTTTGTGATTAAGCCAATAATTGTACCCATGCATGCTTATGTGCATAAACTTATGGTAGCGAGTTACCATCACTGGGCTGTCAACCTGAACATGGATGATGGCTATCCATAACAATATGATCTCCTCGCTAATAGTATATGGATTTCTGATGTTTGAATATAAGGGTGGAAGGAAGCAAAACTCTTAGAAAGAATCAAGGAGAAGAAGAAAGAGGACATATACTGTGATAATATATGAGATTACAATCACAAGATTTATTGGGTGCTTGGATGTTGGACTCTGTAATCCTCATCTTTGTAACAGAGAATGGTAGATGCATGTTTAATGGTACAGTGCTGATCATTTACCCAGCTTTTCTCCTATGCTAGGAGGAAGTAAATCCTGTAGGAAAGACTGGAGATGAGGGGATATAAAAACTAGCCTCTGGATTTGGAGCCTGGCAGAAGTCTAAATTCCATGAAGCTCTAAAGTCATACTGATATTTGTCCTTAAAGGTCATGGTGTGCAGCTGTTCAAAAAAATCCAGGGACCAAAATTCAAGGGATTAAGTAAGAATAAATAGAAGGTATGAAAAGAAGTGAGCAATGCATCAAGAAAGGTCCAAAGAACAAGAAAGGAAGCATCAGCCCTAGCCAGTTTGCTCAGTGGCTAGAGTTCAGCCTGAGGACTGAAGGGTCCCGGGTTCAATTCTGGTCAAGGGCACATGCCCAGGTTGCAGGTTCGATTCCCCAGTATGGGGTGTGCAGGAGGCAGCCAATCAATGATTCTCTCTCATCATTGATGTTTCTATCTCTCTCTCCTTGTCCTTTCCTCTCTGAAATTTAAAAAAAAAGGAGCATCAGTCCCTCTTTTTATGGGAATTAAAGGAACAGGGTAAGCTTCTAGTAGTCAGAAGGCCTTGGCTGAATTGATCTTCTCTACAAACTATGTTCTACAAAACAATGATAATAACATTTGCTTATTTCCCTCACAAAATTTTTGTAAAAGTCAACTTGAAAATATTAACATAAAATCAGGCAAGGCACAGACATAAGTAATTGATTACTGTAGCATAATAAAACAAGATAAAGAATTCAAAAATCAGATTAGTTCATGAAAAGGATGGGAGCCAGGTTATGTAAGGAGCACTTTAAGTAAGGCAGCTTGTCTGGTTGTTGGTTTAATAATTTGCTTCTCCCCAGTGAGAAGAAATATTGATTATATTGCTAAACCAATGGTCAATGTTTAGTCTTCATCTTACTTGACCTAATTGCCAGTATTTGACATGGGTACTCACTTCTCCTTTACTTTCTTCACCTGGCTTCCAGAAGAATACATTTACTGATTTCTCTCCCACTTTATTGACTGTTTTCTCCTATTTTCCCTCATCTCTTTAGTCTTAATATGTTAGGGCTACCCTTAGACTGAACTTTGACTTCTTTCTTTTCTATATACTTTCACATTTTGGGGAATTTTATTCAGTCTCATAGATTTTCATCTATAGATTAACAGCTCCAAAATGCATATGTCCAGTCCAGATCGCTTTCCTGAATTTCTTTAACAACTGCCAACTCTATGTCACCATTTGGATGTGTCTATTAAACTTCTGCAAGTAAACTTGCCTCAAATCTAGCTTCTGATTTTCCCACCTCCCCTCTACCTGTTTATTCCCATAGATCTTTCCTATATCAGAAAATCTTTTGCTTTGGTTTTCAGGCTCAAAAGACTTGTAAACATTTTGAACTCTCTCTTTCATAGAGAGAGATGGTAATCTACAATCAACCAGCCAATTCTGTAGTTTCTACTTTCAAGATATATACAATCCCCGCCACTTTTTATTACCTTCGCCAGAAACTCTTCACCTGAACTACTCACCAATCACCATCATCTGTCACCTGAATTAGTTCAATAGCTTCCTAGCAAGTCTTTCTGCTTTACCTTGCCTGCTTCCAATCTACTCTTAACATAGCAACCACAGTGATGTTCTCCTCTATAAGTTAGATCCTGTCACTCTTCTGCACAAAACTCAAGTGGTTTCATATTTCCCTTCGTGAAAAAGGGAAGTCCCTGAAGTGGCTTA